ATGCATAATATAAATAAAATATAAAGGATCTAACACTTGAATATAAATTATCTAACACTTGTAGTGCAGATGTTAGACTGCACAGGAAGTTTTGCCAAAGTAAAAATGGTCATGCCCAACTGAGCCTGGTTTCTCTTGAGGATTTTTTTGTTTCTTTCACTTTCGTTAATTGGTGAAGTTTGTTCCTCGCCACTGGCTTGCTTGGTTTGGGACTTGTGGAGCTGTGCATTGATGGATTTGCTCTTCAGTGTTTGAACTTTCAGCAGTGAAGTTTAAACCACACTGAACTGAACTGAACTGAACTGAACTGAACTGAACTGAACTGAACTTCAGCTGCTTTGACACAATCTATACTGTAAAAGTGCTAGAACTAAAGATGAATTGAATTGAATGATTTAAATCTGTGTTTAATGAGAGACACATTCATGAAGTACAAGTGAAAGATCTTTGCATTTTAAGTTCATTTTTGCATTAGAATATTGTCCATTATAAACCTCACACCGTACAAACATAACATTTCAAAACATGTGGTGAGAACTAACCGTTGCTGAAAGAGGTGGGTCTATGATCCTTCAATATTACATTTACTGATAAAAATAACAATAATCATATATTAATATTAATACTAAATAAGACTATGAATCAAAACAATGATTTAAATGAGTGCAAATTTACATTTGACTCTAAAATGAAAAGCAATAGTGACGTAAAATAGCTGACATCAGCACTATTTAAGCACTTCTTATTATTGGAGCATGCTGTTATCTGGAAATAAAGATTATCAGTGATGAAACAAATTTTGGTCTGTTTCTCACACACAACTATCATCTGGTTTGAGAATTCAGTGATGGCGTCAGATGGATAACATTAATAAAGCCTGAAAGCTTTAGTGCCCATTCTTCGTAAACTATCCATTTTGTAAAGTGCAACACAGAAAGGAAACTTTCTGAACGCTGTGTTCCATGAAATAAAAAAGCGATGACATCAAGGTTTACAACAGCATGTTTTCTCAAATCTCCTCTTCTATCTGTTGCACTACAGTATGTTCAGCATTTAGACAAGAACAAGCCAAAGAACAAGAAAAATTACTCGCAGGGAGGGCTGTAACTACTGCGGTTTAACTAATACAAAACAAGCAGAAAAACAAAACATGCAACACTTTAACCTATGACCTCCATCTCCGAAATCAAAGAGTCATGAGTCATCACTGGGTATTTTAAGGTAAGTGTCCTCTAGCTTCGATTTAGCTCGAATTGCATAACATTGGAAGTAGCATGGGAAAATTCACATCGAACGCAAATCGTGCATTGCAGCTGTTTGCAATATTATCATAGCATATGGTCTTCATAACATTACAATCCCCTTTATTCTGTCATGTCCATTTGAGCTGTTAAATTGTAGCTTATTGGTTTTGGATCACATAAATGGTTCTGCAAAGTGAACGTACACTTAAACACATCTGGGTTTTGGTAAAAATGTTAGGGTGGAGGGAACAGTCCTCTACCCATCTCTACAAAACATCCCAGGATACATAAATTAGACAGCACATATGCTCCTACAAAAACAAGCACTAATGGATGCTAAAGACCAAGATATACAATCGCTTCTCTCACTCTTCGGAAGGCAGTAGTTCATCTCACAAATTAAAGTATAACATAACAATCGGCATAATCTGCCGAATCGTTCATATAATTATTTCAGCACATTTTGGAGTTTCAAAAATATCATTGGTGGGATTATTTAAACATAATAAATCCTGATCTGAGATCTTAAATATGATTGACGACCATCTAAAACTTTTTTCACAATGCTAGGCGTTGCTATCTGTGTGTTAAGTGGTGACGTATGGAGTACTGCTTCTGGGTCCAAGTGTGCTATTCATTTGAGTTGAGAAAATATTCGTTTACAACTAATTGTTTGTCATACCACACATTAAAGTGAATTTTATATCAAATCACGGTGTTCACAACAGTCTCTGGACATGCTGCATCACACACACCAATATTTCAACCATTTATAAAAAATTAATCACTCTGGCCATTGTATATTAGGCATGGATATATACAGTATGTACATTATATATTGCGGTCGTGATTTTTGAAAGTATTACATTGCTTTGTTATAATTATTACCATTTGTTGAGTCTCCCCAAACAGTTTGATATAGTGCTTGGACCCAGAAACCACCTCGGGTGAAATCACACTTAACAAGCAGATGGTGTTACTGGGTGTTACAAAGAGCACTGCATGGTGGTTTTGAGGGTGCTATAGGCAGTTACTCAGGCCATTGCAAGATTAGGGAGTTCTGAGTAGTTACTGCTAGGGTGTTCAGAATAGTTACCCAGGGCACTGCTGGGTGGTTGCTAGAGAGTTTTGAGCAGTTGCTTTTGAGTCACCACAGAGTGTTTTGGGGTACTGCTAGGTATTTGGTAATGAATTCTGGGCAGTTACTTGAGGGACTACTAGGTAGTTGCTAGGGTTTTCTGGGTAGTTACTAGGGCCACTGCTGTTTTTTTTTTTGAGTACTTTGCTAGGTGATTGCTTGAAAGCTTTTGGTAATGTACAAATGTAACTAGTGTAAACAAAACATAAAACTACTTACAAGAACATGTAGCTTAATTTAATAAACAAATCGGAGATATGGCCATTTAATGACATTTAAAAAAAATGTTTTTGCATTTTATTGTTTTTACAAATTACATTTGGTTTTAAAAAATACATTTCAGAACAGTTATTTTATTTCAATTACTTAGAAATGTTGACATTATCCTTAAAACTATGCAAAAATGCTGCATATAGGAACAGTACTGATAGGTTTACCTTCTAAATATTATTAAAATCATTCATGCATTTGTTTTGTTTTTCCAAGCTTCAGAATTGTAACATATTTTTGCTTGTAAATCTTGAAAGTCGACTTTATTCAGGAGCCACAGCTGTGTTCAAAATGGTATAAATGTTGTCAGAGTGCACTAAGAACGAAGCACAATTGTCAGTTTGATGATTGCTGAAACAGAATTGTATTAAAAAAAAACTTGAGCAAAAAAACTTTAAGCTTCAAAATCATTAGAAGGTTCTTCCTGTGTTCGCGTGGGTTTCCTTCACGTGCTCTGGTTTCCCCCACAGTCCAAAGACATGCGTTACAGGTGAATTGAACTAAATTTCCCATAGTGTACTTGTGAGTGTGTATGGGTGTTTCCCAATACTGTGTTGCAGCTAAAACATATGCTGGAATATTTAGCAGTTCATTCTGCTGTGGCAAACTCTGAAATAGAGACTAAGGGCCCTATCATACACCCGGTGCAATGCGGTGCAAGGCATGATGCAGTTGTTGTTTGTTAGTTTTAGCTCGGCCCAAGAGTTATTTTGACGTTTTGCTGCACTCTGTTTAAATAGAAAAAAAGCATATGTGCGCCAATATGCGTTCTGGTCTATAAAAAGCAGGTGAGTTTTGGCGCATTGCTGGCGCGCTGCTATTTTGAGGGATTAAAATACATTGTTCAATAGACCAGCAGAGAGAAGGTCTAAAGTCCAGCGCAGAGCACGTTAGTTGTGCGCCTTGCTTAAACATTGCTTAATACACAAAGGATGTACAGCAATACGCAAATATCTTTACAAATGAAAAAGGATTAAAAAATTACAAAAGTGATTATTTTTTTAGCCTACATAAATATTAAAACCACCGCCTCCATGCCTTCTTCATCTCGGGGGGCTTTTTCAGTTTATTTTTGACAATTTGCTTTTGTATAATGTTATTATTAGTAGTAGTGGTATTTATTATATGCAGATTTATATTTGTTTTATAAAAAAAACAAGCTTAGATTTGCCCACCTGTGACCAAATGGGGCATAGCATGTGTATTTGGATATATCTCAGTTTTTGACCACACTTTGTTATTATTGTTGATTTATTAGTTTGCTGGAAATTAGAAATGAATTTAGAAATAGTTTTTAAAAATCTTTGCACTTAACAAATGAAATTAATTATGTAGAGGCTATTGGATGTCTGTGCGTACAACACATTTCCACGAGAGTGAAAGTGAAAGTAAAGAATGAGGAGGCTCATCTCTCATTCTCCCGATGTAGATGATCTGTTTAACTGTTTCTCTCTGGTGAAGCGCTCAGTTTTTCCACCTACAGTCCGTCATGTAAATAGCAAATGCGCCATGGCGCTATGCAACTGACTCTTAAAGGGAATGGGATATGAGACTGATTTATTTATTTGATTTATTCTTAAAGCACACCTATAACTCATTAAGAGCATAAGCTCAACCCTGTTTGACCATGCGCCATGGCGCAAAGTGGATTTTTTTTTGCCCTTAAAAAGCAAAAGTGGATTCTGACATGCCCTAATTGCTTTTGCAGCCTGCATTTTGGACTTTGCGCCTAGATTGTCAAAATAGAGCCCTAAGCCGGAGGAAAATTAATGAACGAGTGAATCATCGAAAGTGGATGGTTTCAGTGGAATAGTGGATTCAAAGGAAGGGGGCATAAGGGACATAATGCACAATAGAACACAGCCAGGAACTACTGTATGCTCCTAACCACAGTTCTAGAGTTTTAGTTCCAACCACACAAGTTTATAATGCTGTATGCAGTGAATTCGGGAAACACCAAAATTCGAGAAATTCAAAACATTTTAACAATTTTATTTAGTCAACTTTTTAGGAAATACACGTCTGGTTGGTTTTAAATGGTTGCTTATTGGCCAAATGCTGTGTGGACAGTTTTCACACTCAGTTTCAATATCCATCAGGGTAAGCAATTGAAATCGTAATAAGCCATATAACATGAGCTCTTATTGTGTTTACAGTACAAGCAAAACATGAGCCTAAGTTTAATTTCATTGGTATGAGCAAAAATAACAGATGTGTTTGTGTTATCAAGTACCAATAAATCACACAAATTAAACTAAGCACTCATTTCTCATTTCAGTCTGATTTCTTCTTTATACCACACATGCTTCAACAGTGTGAGTGCATATAAAGAATAATGTAAGGCTTACCCGTAAACATCTCCTGCCCAAGTGCTGGGGAACGACTTTCTTTCCCATTCAGAGAGTGCTGAGAGCCAGCAGGGCAGTGGGAATGCTGGGAAGGGGCGGAGCCATGCAGATGCTGGATTGACAGACATTCACTCAGAGCATCTGATTCTAAATGGGGGCAGGCCCTTAGCTGTCAATCAAAAAGACACAAGCGATGAAGTAAACAATATTCAAATATCAAAACATGATGCAGGAATGGAAGAAATCATGTTTAAAACATGTGGATCATCTGTTGCTGAGTGACATGGTGTAAAATGAGGAGAGGCACACTTTCCTAAACTGGATCAGGCCCAAACAAAAGCCTTCAATAAAGAAGACACATCAATCTTTCCCTACTATCCGGCATAAATAATGACGAGCTTAGAAAGGAACGTTTTTTCACCACAAACAGGAACCTTTGATTGGAAACATGAGGGGATGAGGGGAAGAACATACCCCACAGACACATCCATCGTCCCGAGTGCAGGTTGGGACGCCACGTTTGTGGCTAAAGAGAGGTGGAGAGGTCTCCTCTGCTGGTGAGATTAGCATGCAAGACTTATTTTTCCAAAATCAAAGATCTGGGAGTAATCATGCATTACATGTGACATTTATTTAGAGTTTGGGGAGTCATATGTGTTTAGGGCTTTTAGACTCACTTTAAAAGCTCGGATTGTAGCATGGAATTATGTTTAACTGGAAAATTATCTTCGGTCACATGAATCAGTGATGAGTGGACCAAATCTGGAGACGATTCTTTGCAATAAACAATAGCCGAAATGAGCCGTGACATGCAACTTGAATGCGTTATGTCATTTTAATTCCTCTACAATTACCATTTTCAAACTAAAAGCTTGCAAACTCGTGAATTAGAAACAAAACAAACACATTTTAATTACCCTTGAACGGGCTGCAGCTCTTGAACATTACAAAAGATCGCAAACCGCACGTCTTGCAGTTGAGATTTTTGTGTAAATCTCCCAGCCATTTGTCAAGCCTAATGGAGCCTTGGTGCTTTGCTACAACAGGCGTCGCTCGCGATAGATGGAGTGGGAGTGTTTGTTTGACATCGGCCCACAACATCTGGCCACTGGGGTATAGTGCTGCACAGATTATTACCAATGGTACACGCTCACATGTGTTTCCGCTTACAATAGCAGGCAAGAAGAACGCATCAGTCAGCTGTCGTTTAGAGCGGTGCAACAATAAGACCATTCTGCTTATAATTACCAACTTTAATGAGGAATGCACTCTTCACCATGTAGATGCTGAAATGTGGTCGGAGTTGATCTATTGTTGGGGAAATGGTTTTCAAAGACAATCCTAAGTAGAACCAACTGCACCAAGCCGTGAAAAAGACACAACTGACCATGAAAAATATCTACTAGCCGTCTTTCTGCAAGAGCCAAAGAGCTAATTGTAGTCGGATGCGCTGATGATTTGTACGTGGGAATTTCTGGATGTGCGTTTGTATCCGTACCTTTCGACGCACCTGCTGCTCTTTGGCAGAGTGGATCTTCACGTGCTTGCGGAGGGAACTGGGGTCTGTGTAGCGCTTAGTGCAGCCCGGGATCTGACACGCATATGGTTTCTGAAACAGGAAAAGCACAATGAGTCTGAGAAGCATAATTATACACAGCTCAGCCACAAAAAAGACATGGAAACACACGGCTATGGACACAAAGACAGTAATCATTGCATTACGGCCGCATTTATAATTGAGTAGCTATAATTATAGTTAATAAGAGACATTAAACACAGTGCAGTACATTTATACAAGCAACTATTCTGAACTGCTAAAGGAAATGTCCTGTTTATGAAAACCTATATACTAATATACAGAATGATGACAATGAATCTGCATCACATTTTGAAGTATAAAACAAAAGGAGAGGGGGGGGGGGGGGGTTGAAAACAAATAAATATTATTATGTAAACGGTGTAAAATGTGTAATTTTCTAGGTTACAAAAATGGTTACAAAAATGGTCTTGATTATCTCATAATTATTCACTCACCCTCCACATTTTCCAAAGTTTAAGGGTTTCTTTCTTCAGATGAACACAAAAAAAGATATTCTGAGGAACATGGGCAACCAAATCATTGTTTGTCCCGATTGACCTCTACATACCCTATAATAGAAGTCAATGGGGACCATTAACTGGTTACCAATATTCTTCAAAATATCTTCTTGTATGTTCAATGCAAAAAAAGAAACTCAAACCAGTTGGGAACAACCTGAGAAAATCTAAACAATAAAGATGCCAGGAAGAGCCAGTGAGGCGTGTTCTAGATAAGTAAGTAAGCAAATAATGTGTATTTATAAAGCGCATTTAATGTGTATGGCCATACACCCAAAGCGCTTCACAATCATAAGTGGGTTCTCTCCACACCACCACCAGTGTGCAGCATCCACTTGCATGATGCAACAGCAACTACAGGACAATGGCGCCAGTGCACTCACCACACTCTAGCTATTGGTGGAGCGGAGAGACAGTGATACAGCCAATTCAGTGGATGGGGATGATTGAGTGGCCATGATCGTAAAGGGCCAATGGAGGGAATTTAGCTAAGACATCGGGGTAATTTTATCAAATAGTGTTTGTAAGTAATTTTATAGAATCATCTTTTTGGTTCTCCAACGAACCTTGTAAGTGAAGAGATCCTCATAGAACAAATTACTTTCCAACATTTTCATAATCTTGATCCCATAATAAATTTTTTTCCAATATAATATTCAGTATATGGATGTTAATGGTTCTTCACAAAATCATCTATGACAATAAAGAATCTAAATTTCTAAGAGTACATTTTTCAGAGTTTACATGTACAAAATAGTCAAAACAAAGTTCAAGAGGAAAGACAGCATCCTACCTTTCAGCTGAGAGGACACAGGAAGAGGAAAGAAGAATACAGATTGATCGGTAAATGTCATGCAGGCATACAGGCAAGTATTGTACAAACACTCATTTACTGGTTTACAAGAAGCAAACTACTAAGCCAGTTTTATGTTGTGTTGCACATTTAATTACCTTTGAAGTGTTTAAACATACAGTTGAAGGTAAAATTATAAGCCCTTCTCTGAAATTACAATTCTTTTGGTTAAAAAAAAAGTTTAACAGAAAAAGTACATTTTCTACATTTCCTATTTTTTTCTTCTGGAAAAAAGTCTTATCTCTGTTAGTTTGGCTGGAATAAAAGCAGTTTTTAATTTATAAAAAATATGTTTTAAAGTAAATATTTTTAGCTCCCTTAAGATTTTTTTTTTCAATTGGCTACAAAACAAACCATTGTTGTCCAATGACTTCCCTAATTAAGTTAATTTGCCCACTTAACCAAATGAATGGAGTTAAAGCTTTAAATTGCACTTTAAGCTTAATACTAGTGTAAAAGTTAGTCACCATGGCAAAGACAAAAGAAATGAGTTATTAAATATTAGTTGTGAAAACTGTTTAAAACGTTTCTGTTTATTACCAGTTGTATTGAAATATTTTTAAAAGAATTTACATTCCACAGGGTGGGGGGCTAATATTTTTGTCTGATAAGATACATTCGTATAACTATGATTCTCACTGGTAAACTTGCAACCCAGGCTCATTCTGAAAATGTACCACAATATACATTTCTGGAGAGTGCCAAATATGTCCCAGGAGCTCCGTTTTTTGCAGTTTTTGTTTTCTCGAATCCACCAGAGGCCGCTTTTTCTTCTGCGAGCGCCATCTGCATCTGCCGTTCTCGTGTAAATCCACCAGAGGCTGCTGTCAACTGACTGAATGACAGACTGACGGACCGATCGACTGACCAGATTGGCCAACTTCCCTAAACCCAACCGACAGTTTTAAAAAGCAATCCAGAAAAATTAAAGCCCTCGCCTGATTTTCAGCCCGTTTTCATATTTCACCACATTCTCACTATGGAAGCATACGAGTAGCATAATTCAATTCAAAATGTAATATGCAAAATGGCAATGCAATATGTTAAATGGCAATGTATTTCTGTATTTGAATTTGCATTTTTGCATTTCAGTTAGCAGTTAGAATTGATCCCTAAAACTGCGTGCGCGAATATCAAACCTAAGGCCAACTTTACTGAGCTAGGAGGTGATTGCTTTTCTAAAGTATTTCCCAGTTCACGCTCGAGGGCTCGTGCAGCTTCACGAAGCCGCTGAGGAACAGACTTCGCCATGTTTATGCTGCCAAATGTCCCAAATAGTCCTCGCGGCAGCTGTGACGACATAACCTAAAACCTGCCTTGCAGCAACGGTGGCCGTCTGTGGGCGTGGCCAGGCCAGAATGCATTTTCAATTTCAAATTGGCTTTCATTCGTCGCGATGTGTTAAATGAAAATGCATTATGTTTTTTTTATTTTCATTTTCATTTTGCAGCAAACATTGCACATATGTCTTGGAAAAGGCTAACTGAAATACAGAAATACACTGCCTTTTACATATTGCATTATCGTTTTGCGTATTACATTTCAAAATTAATTTTGCTACACACATCCCATGCTGTTATGCTAAAAATGTAATCCTGCGTTTCCTAGACGCGAGCGTAAATGCATTTAGGACAAATAACATTTAAATGATCATTTTCCTACAGTTTCTGCTTGTACTTTATTCACATCAAATTCAGTTTGTGTATAGCATTTTCAATGTAATTTAGCTACTTATAAAGCTTTAAAATGTGGATACAATTTACATATTAAAACAGTGTTTGAAATGAGAAATGCAAACAATGTAATTTAATTTACATTTTCATTCTGCACCAAACATTGCTCATATGTCTTGGAAAATGCAAATTCAAATACAGAAATACATTGCCATTTAACATATTGCATTGCCATTTTGCATATTACATTTTGTATTGAATTATGCTACTCATATGCTTCCATATCTCACTCTGTTATTTACTTGTTTATTTTATTTTTTGGATTCTATTTTTGTCTTACCTTCTTTTTTGTTGGACTTGAAATCCTGCTGTCGTGGTCAGCTTCTCTCTGCATCTTAAGTCCGCCAACATACAATTGCCAGTCTAACTAAACAAACTAGTAACAGCTGAAAAGCCATGATCTTTATGTAGGTAAGTGCTCAGCTGATAAGCGCGAAAAGGAACAGCATCATACCGCCTTGTAGCGTTAATTTTAAAGATGAAATGCGTCCATACATAATTCTGGCTACATTATTTACAATCTTCAGAAATGTATATAGGGCTATGTTTTCAAAATGAGCATATGTTGCAAACTTCATTGAATCAAGTCTTTCAATTCAAAACATGCAGAGGTGATTTTCTCCCATGCATTTTACGCTGCTCTTTTTTTTTCTAAAACAGAGGCAGTCATTAAAGTGAAAGTGGATAGGCTTCCTTTATTAGCTCTCCTTTCCTACCTTCCCTCGTTCTCTAAATAACGCTGTTTTTACAAGCCGCTCGCGGGGCAGCTCGTCTCTGTGCATTTATTTGTTTTCACTGTGCAATGCCACATAATCCCCCTGCCATTTAAACGCACCGAAAACAGAAAACGAGAAAGCTTGGGAATGGAAAAAAGGAAAATAGGCTGTCAAGGATAAATATCATTACAGTGGGAGTGATTTTTTTCACTGTATATGAGGCGTGTGGGAAGGCTGTGACAGGGTTAATGTGCAGCGGTGGGCATCTGGAGTCGGGGGCCTAATTGACCATGGCAGTGTGGTGGTAGCGCAGCGCTGGAGCTCTGCTGAGATGTGATACAGCACAGTGTTTGCCAGTTAGTGAGGAATTACTAACTCAAGCTTTCCCTGACTTTTATTTTTCCTCACATTGTTGGAGTGGGATGCAAGACATGCCTGCTTCTCACTGTGAGTTGCTTTTTCTGTCTCTCTCTGCCATGTGTCGTTGCTCTCCCAAACGGAGCATGGTGTTAAACGATGTATGATATATAACCCGTTTTACTTGATCAACCCATAGAGACATATCTTGAAGCATGTTGTGAACATTTGGGTCAAGGGAAGGTATCAAACAGCACATTCATGGGTTTTTTAAAAGCTCAGTTTGACTGGGAGTTTAAAACTGTTATGAGTTTCTTTCTTCTGTTAAACATACAATAAAAGATATTTAGAAAAATGTTGTAAACCTGTAGCCATTGACTTCCATAGAAGGAAAAACAAATGCTATGAAAGTCAATGGTTATAGGATTTCAGCTTTCTTCAAAAAATCTTCCTAAAAATGTAACAAGGGGGGGTTGGGGGGATTGACCCCTCAATTAATGCTTGATACCCCCCGAAGCGTATCAAAACAGCATGTATAGGGGGTCAGTCCTTTAAATAGTGAGAAATAGATTGCTCTGATCTGTATCTTAAATAATATTAATAATTAAAACAATAGATAATATAAACATACATTTGACCAAGTTAGACCTACAGTAACTTCTGAAATAGCATATCAGATGGCACTGTAAGTCAGAATACACTAAATATCTCTCAAAACACTGAAAACATAAATACATTTCATAAATAAATTAGATGTAATTAAAATAAATACATTTGATTAATTGAAGCGTGTTTTACATAAACTAACATTACTAAAAAAGTTGACCCCCCTGATCGTCAATGTATAATTCACACCCTGTTTAGAACCACTACGCTTTTCAGTATTGAGCTAGATTAGTTTCAAAAATAATACATTTGCAAATTAAAACTCATACATGCACAGCACAGTTCACATTTACAAAATCCAATTTGTAAACTAAAACACAATTCATAAATACAACACAATTTGTAAATTCACAAGTACAAATCATAAATATTTTTTGCCAAATGAATTGGATTTGTGTATTTTTGAATTGTGTTCTAAATTTATGGATTGGATTTGTGTTTTTTGAATTGTGTTCTGAATTTATGAATTGTATTTGTGTATTTTTAAATAGTGTTTTGAATTTACATTTAGAATTTGTGTTTTTTTGATTTGTGTTTTGAATTTACGAATTGGATTTGTGTATTTTTAAATAGTGGTTTGAATTTACAAAATAGATTTGTGTATTTTTGAATCGTGATTTGAATTTCCAAATATGATTTGTTTATTTTTTAATGAATTTATTAATTAAATTAGATTTTTTTTATCGTGTTTTGAATTTCCGAATGCGGTTTGTGAATTTTTGAATCATGTTTTAAATTTATGAGTTGGATTTGTGTATTTACGAATTGTGTTGTGAATTTACAACTTGGATTTTGTAAATGTGAATTGTGTTGTGGATGTATGAATTATATTTTGTAAATGTATTATTTTTGAAACTGATCTGGCTCCATACTTTAGCAGTTGGAATTTTTAAGCAGAACTTAAAGGCTCCATAGAATCTCAGTTTAGTTTAGGAAAAGCTAAACAAGCTAAAACAAAATAATTGTAATGTTTTTGCAAAATAATTATCTTACTAAATTTTGTATACAAATTTAGATTTTTGAAATAACTTTTGGGTAATTAAGCGTTATTAAACAACAGCAGTAATCTATAAATTATACCAAAAATGGCAATGGACATCATAATTTAACCAAACGGCCAGCCAAAATACATCTAAAAGGGTATACACAACTATTATTTTATAAATCTGTTTCATTACTGTGAATTGTCCAAATTAACTGATACACCAGAATGAATATCATATAGGTATAGTATAATATTGCGTTTTAATTATTTAAAAAAAACATTATATAATAACTTTTAGGATGAATATATTTAATATAATATAATGAATCAACTAAAATGAATCAACTTTTTATATTGAAAATATTCATAACAACAAATTGCTAAATATGAGAGGGAGGAGCGTTCAAAATGAACAGAGTCTTTGTAAGAAGGGCTTTTTTCACAGCTACATATGAGAATGATAAAACTCTTTTCAATGTAACTGCTGTCATACTTTGAAGAAGGATTAAGTAATTAGAGATACTAATAAATTCAGTAGCATTACAACAAGTTTGCATGGTTCGGAAGATTCAAAAAAGCCATTATTCTCCTGAATTTTACAGCATTTCTATCAAGTTTAAGGTCAGGTACTCACAGTGTCCAGATGTGTGCGCTGGTGCTTTGCCCTATCGCTGGAGTTGCTGAAGGCTTTCTGACAGCCAGGGTGCTGGCACAGATATGGCTTCTCTCCTGTGTGACTCCTCAAGTGAATCTTCAGATTCTCCAGCCTCGAGAAGGCTTTGTTACACCCTTCAAACTGACAGAGAAAAGACACCAGTCAACATTAACAAGTCCTTCCTTTCATTCCTTTACAGAAGTGAGGATAGATGATGGAGCGTGGTGTTTGTTAGATGTTGTCTTAAGTGCGTGAGAGATGCATTTAGATCACAATTTAAAATTATTAATAATAATGTATTCAATTTGTCATGATATGACAAAGCTGATTCTTACACATTTTCTAGAGTCAAGTTTAAGCATTTTTCAAGCACTTTCAAAGGTTTCCGGTATATTTACAAGTGTAGCAAATTACATATTTACATACAAAGTGGTCAACATTTGAAGTGGATCAAAACCTTTCATCATAGTTGTCCTACACTGTAAATATAACCCAAATTTTTACAAAAATATCTAAAACTTTTTCGATATTTTTTTGTCTTTTCAAATTATTTTCAAAACTCAGTAAAATGTCAAACAATCTCTCTAAATTAACAGTTTGACTTTCAATTTAGGTAATTTATCATTACAGACAAATTAATGTCATTTTTGTTTTTTATACAGGGAAATTGCTGTATAAATTATACAGTATTCTTTTAGTTATTTTAAATTATATTTAAAACTCTGTAAAAATGACAAACAATATCTTTAAACTAACAGCTTGACTGTTATTTTATGTATTTTATAATTAATGACAATTTACAGCAACTTGTCTGTTTCATACCATAAAATTGCTGTATTATTCAGTGTTTTTTCCTGTTTTTTTAAAATACATTTAAAATTATCTAAATCAAAATAACAAATTGTAATTACTTGTGCACCTCGCTATATTAAGGTTTATGACCATACTAACAATTTTTAAAATGTTTTTTAATTTTATTTTAAAGTTGTAAGAAATTTAATCAGTTGTTTTTTTCCAGACTTTTTGATCCAAAATAAAACTGTTCAATTACAACCTTGAACATGTCTTGACATTTTATTAAAGGTGTTTAATTGTAATGATTTAGTGAAAATTCTGTTAAATAACATTGTTTTCTCTTAAACTTTTAGTGCACTTTATTGATGGTGTTCGATCATAATAAGATCTGAAAAGTCTGGTGTTGTTTTGTTTCTTAGTGTGTAACTTTATTGAACGTATTTGACAGTAATATAGGAAACATCTGTAAAATAACAGTGTTTTTCTGTAAACATCTTAATGAAAATTTATTTAGATTTATTATTTTTGATTTTTTTTTTAACAAAGAAATTTTCACGTAATTTTATGGTTTTTGTTTGCTAGCCATAGCTGCCAGTCATTTGACCTGATGTGTAAATCTAACACCCATGTTGACAACTGTAAATATTTCATCACTACAGTATAGTATAGTATAGTATAGTATAGTATAGTATAGTATAGTATAGTATAGTATAGTATAGAACAGTATAGTATAGAACAGTATAGAACAGTATAGTATAGTATAGAACAGTATAGTATAGTATAGTACAGTATAGTATAGTATAGTATAGAACAGTATAGTATAGAACAGTATAGTATAGTATAGTATAGTATAGTATAGTATAGTATAGTATAGTATAGTATAGAACAGTATAGTATAGTATAGAACAGTATAGTATAGAACAGTATAGTATAGAACAGTATAGTATAGAACAGTATAGTATAGTATAGTATAGTATAGTATAGTATAGTATAGTATAGTATAGTATAGCATTTTGATGGCATGTTTGTCCCAAGCACAACAATAAATTACTGTCACAATTACTCTTTATTAAGATATTTAAATATTGAATTATTATTTTCTATTTAGTCAGATAAATTGTTAGGAAAGCACTTTCAAGTATTTTATCCAAAATTGATGCACTTTTCAAACTTTGAAAACTCTAGATTAAAATACAAACATATTTAAAGGTTTCCAGCACCCTTACAAACCCTGAACCAATCAGAATCCTTCAATTGCGCAGAATAATGATGACCATGCCATGCCTCTTTAAATGGCACCAAGTAATGATTAGCTTTATGCGTGATTAATCGCTTAAATGAAATGCATTATATCCTATACAATCCTTTCTTGTAGCCCCTCCCACAGAACATTAACAGCCAATCAGAAGCCCTGGATAAGTCAGAATGGCAGCTTATGGAGGTGTCAGAGAGAGTGAAACCTGACATGGCAGCTTTGCTCTCTATTGTCCACTGACCTCTAACTGAGGCCCCGCTTCTGTCGCAGCTCCAGTTTCACTGAAGGAAAGAGCCTTCCATTCTTCTAATGGGCCCTCAGAACATCATTCGGGCTCTGGCCTCCTTCAATCACTCGCAAAGGGCTTGCTATTGAGGCCAGGCCATTTAATACGGGGCGAAACCCTAGACTGTCACAGTCGGGATATATTGAGTGACCTGGATTATACAGTGTGTGTGTATCTGGGTGTGTAAAATTCTTACTTGGAAAGAAAAGAATTTTCTAAAAGAAAGAAAGTAAATATGTGGATACATTACAAATATCACATACGATTAGACATACATCTAATCAGACATACGAAACAGGGTTTGCATTTGCATTGAATTGCTTTCAAATGACAATTTGCTGTGATCCCTGACTTTAAGATTCAAAACAGTATTAATTAAAAGTTGAATAAAAATCAATAAAATTTCAATAAAAACTATGTGTAAAACTACAGTCACTTAAATAAGGAAATTTAAATTTTGTGTGAAAATTTGAATGACATGTTTAGCCACAATAAAATTTGTGTACCTTCCTAAGAAGCTTACAATTTTTCAAATTATGCCAAGACTGTAGTAATATTATTTATGTTTGCATTTAGGATGAAAAGAAAACACTATGAAAGTAGGTCATTTTTAATATAAAACATAAAATATAAAAGTTATTACGTCTAGAAATTACATTGTACTGGGAAGATTCCGTAGCCTTTTCATTAATATACATTAAAAAAAGTAATTTATTCCTATCAGGGCAAAATTTTCATGTAATTTCCCTGATCCTCATCATCCTGCAGAAATTATTCTAATAGGCTGTATTATTCATTTTATTTATTAAAATTGTAAAACACTGTTAGGCTCAAAAGGCTGTCATCATCCATTTACATGGTTTATCAGCTATACTAATAGAGACGACTTCAAATCCGTTCCAGATCTGTTTTACATTACTGTGATGATTGGGTTTTAGGGTTGGGGTAGGGGGTAGACGTTAATAAAATATAACTAATGGCAAATTTAATAAATAATTCTCATGGTTTATCAGCTATACTAGTAGAGAAGACTCCAGATTCAGATCTGTTTAAACATTACTGTGATGATTGGGTTTAGGGCTGGAGTAGGGATAGATGTTAATAAATTACAATTAAGGGAAAATTTTCGGCCGCAGTGGCACGTAATCTATAGCTGATTAATTCAATTAAATTTCATTCATCTTTATTTCTATAGAGCTTTTACAATGTGGATTGTGTCAAAGCAGCTTCACATAGGAGATTATAGTTAATTGAAATTGTGTCAGTCCAGTTTTCAGAGTTGAAGTTCAGTTGAGTTCAGTTCAGTATGGTTTAATTTTCACTGCTGAAAGTAATCATGTGGAAGTATGATAACAGCAATCTGCAGAAGGCCCCTACTGGCCCATATGTATCAGCTGACAACCACTAATAATGCACATTCAATTGAGTGATAACATTCGAATCAGCTGAACATTATTCGGGGTTTTTTTATGTTTACTTTACACAATTTAAATACAATTTAAAGGGGACCTATTATGCCGCTTTAAAAAGATGTAAAATAAGTCTTTTATGTCCCTAGAGTGTGTATGGGAAGTTTCAGCTCAAAACAAGCCATAGATGTCTGTGTCCCTTTTAGGATTTGATCCAAATTGTGCTGTTTTGGTGACTGTCACTTTAAATTCAACAGAGATTGTGCTCTAAGCACTCTTTTCAAAAAGAGGTGGAGCGATAAACACCTATGTCAACATAGTGACAGATTGAAACTCTAAAAGAAGGGTATAAACGAAGGTTGGACCCAGCTCCAAGTGAGCGGGCTTTGAGCTACAAGTGGGCTGTACAATCCTGGAGCTTTTATTTATTTAATGTCTACACCTACCCCAACCCTACACTCAACCTCAGTAACCTGCTGTGTTTTATTAATGTCTTATTTAAAGAGCCCCTATTATGGGTTTTTGAAAATGACCTTTCTTGCCGTGTGTAACACAGCTCTAAATGAAGTGAAACATTCAGCTAAGACTTAAATCTGAAAGTGCACCGTGTTTAAAACTATTGATTCATCTATCAAAAAGTTGATTTAGAGGGGTTCAAACGAATCTTCTTGGTAACGAGTCTTTAGCTGTGTCAGCATGACGTCGAAAAGGAACTCAACCCCTGCCCATTTGTTGCGTACGCAGACCCAGGAAAATTTAAACCCCCGGCCTGCCCACAAACACTGTAGAAAGAAAAAGAAGACAAATACAGTAGCAGAAACCAGCTGAATCATGTCGCAAAGACGCTGTGCTCTGAAGTGTGAGGGAAAGTTAGTTTTATTTTCCCTACCCAAAGATGAGGCTGTGAAGAGTCAGTGGTTTAAGTTATTTTTGCAAAAATACCTCAGCATTATAGCCCCAGCCTTGTGCTGTGTTCCTTTCACTTTTCTCATGAGTGTTTCACCAGTCCACACGCTTACAACGAGGCATTCGTCAGCCATTTGTTAAAGGAAGACAATCAGAAAAGACTACTGATGTATGGGACTTTGTCAGAGCTTGACAGGAACTTTACAGTACACAGTTCATGGATCAGTTTGTTCCTCCAATTCACAAGTGTAAGTAACTTAAGTGTGATTAAATGGTTGTCTCATTGTTTTCTCTAGCCTGCAAAATATGTATTTAATTGAGTTTTGTTACTTGTAATCGCTCCACACAGCAAAAACTTGATGTGTGCTGCTATGTTTATAAATTTAAATGCGTTTGTGATCTCGCGATCCTCTGCTTTGTCATTGCTGTGGCCGCCGTCAGCTGAGGCGGTCACGAATTCAAAGTGTTTCTACAGACTTTTTCTATATAA